TTTTAATTTGCTTTGCTACATTTACCTTAAGTTGTTATATTTCCACGCTCTTCAGATCTTCCCTTGCCATGTTAACAAGATAAGAGGTCAAAGGAACTTATTTTATACTATCAATGTACCGACATATTCCAGACTGCTTCTTTTACTGTTGATGAAAGAATAAAATATACTAAAAAAAATAGCATCACGGGCCATTACAGAAACCGACTCACATACAGGCAAATATGGACATATTGCTGCAATATCATATATATTTTGTTTAAGAAAAATTGGCTTTTTCAAAATTAGAATTTGGAATATGATAAACTACACTGATATTATACGTTAAATGACCCATGCTGATATAGAAAAGTAGAAATACTTACCCACGAGTCATAAACAAAATACATTGTATGTATGTTGCTTTCCGTGATGAGATGCAATTCAACAAAGCACGATTTATAATTAAGATGTTCCCAACATCATCGTTATCCATTATATCGCGTGTACGTTAGGTTTCTCATAAAACCAAACTCGTAAAATTAGTTTGGAGTCACTCGAGCATTTTTAGATCGAATACATTTTATGACTGTCACCTCCACTCTAACCGTATTTCTATAATATGTGTCATGTCACGAAATGTTTCGTGTATCATTATAAGACGTAACCCTTGTGCATCAACATAAAAGTAGTATACACGTTTAGACGATTTGGAAGTAACGCTTAGGTGAAAGAGTTTCTCCATATTCAGTCAGTTCCGACGTTTGTTCAAGCGTGACGTCATTTTTCACTTTTTCAAATACTATTTAAACAGCTAGTTAGAGAAACAGATATACAATATAAGAATGTTTCAGAATAACATTTATACCTACAGCCGTTATTAGTATTTTCAAGGCGGTGTTTGAGCCTTACTCCTCTCAAAGTATACCGGTTCAAAATTTCTCCCATTGTAGCTTGCGATTTTCCAATTCACCTCCGTGTGAAGTCAACGAACTGTATCATTTGACCTCAAGGCCATAGTTATTCATGTCGTATCAGGGTTGCGGCGCTCTGCATGGAACGTAACACAACTAATTACAGTAAAAACAATATAATGTGTCCGGAAACTTATACACACGCAAAATAAGCTGTTCGAGTGGTCTGCACACCTCAGACAACGTTTATGTATACATGAGTATAAATTTTCCACAAAGTTGTTTGTTGTAATTATTTGATGGAGGTGATCAGATTTCTGCATAGTGTGTTTCAAAGCATTATTGTATCAAATGAAATATTGAACTATTGCATAGCATTGACACAAAATCCGAACTTTGGGAAATTATTGGGAAATATGTTATATCTTTTATTGTGTTCATCAGTGCATAAGTTATAAAGTTATAAGGGAAATATTGTACGACCTACAAACTTTCGAAAACGATGCTAGAAGCAGACTTGTATGAAGGTGGCGTTAATATTTATCGTACTTATAAAGGGGAGATGATTCCGACACCTCTGTGAATTATTAAATTCTCGCTTTTACAAAGAGAGATAACTCTGAAGTTCCTGGATTACTTAACATTCTAAGGTTTTACCAACGTTTGGAGCATGCTGAGAATTAAACTTATAGATCTTTTGTTTGCATATTTTCAATCGAAAGATACGAAATTAAGAGAGAACAAATATACTATTTTCTTTGAATTGTACCAACCTCGTATAGAAATCCAGCATAGAACGTCGACCTGAATCGATTTTTGTCAATATTACATGAACATCTGGTATAGACAAAGATCAGCGACTTTAATTAAATTACATGGTGAAATAGATATGTTTTATGTTAATGTTGATACAAGATCAATAAAGCATCATTCCTAGTTACTGATTGAACGAAGAACACATCAGTGTTTGCTCTTTAGTGAATTTGAGATGTTTGAAGTTCTATTTTATTAGTAAAAAGTAAGTGTTTTTCTTAATTATAGTTAGCATGTTTACGTAAGTTGCGCGATTTTTAATTTTTTCACGAGGACAATATCTGATTCCTCCAATTTAGTATTCCTTGCATATTAGTCCTGTCAAAACTCGTGGGCTATGCTTAGTCTCAAAGCCAGCTTCGCGGTGGGGGTAAACGTTCAGTTAATTATATTTTAATGAAAGAAAGAATCAGAATTCTCCCCATGCTGTTCCAGTGGGACATTTGATGTCGAAATAAAGGCGGTATTTACCACTGGCCTCCGTTTAGCATGTTGATATATTCAGCTTTAATTGTATACAAATGGTATTATAGTAACCAATTGTACATATCATTTTGATACCAACTTCATGTTCACTATAACTTTGATCGGTAATACTTCTTATCCAATGTCCAATGGCAATGACTGGCTTATAGTTTAAGAGAATTTTAAAGTCGGACACAAGCCGATAATTCCGACACTATTTGAGATGTGTGAGAATAGGTAAAAGTAAATATAGTGTACGTTCTTTCTGGCTGTTATCAGATATCCGCAATGATTTCATCAATTCCACCCAATGGGAATCATAACTATATAATCCTCAAAACACCTTAGCACTGTATTGTTACTGGTAGCCAAATTAATTATACGAACTCCATTTTATCATGTGCCTAAAGATTTACTTAAATATGTTATTAAAGAAAATTTTTATGCACTGAGCAATTCGATTTGTTTACTATAGCAAATAATGTTTGGTAAACAGACTTTCAACTAGTCCACAACACTCACGATGAACGGCACATTGCGCATTCCCTCTGGCTTCTACACAGCAGCTCAACGCGAAGCTATGTGGGTTAGCTTTAGCCACAGGCACACATATAATCATAAAATGTTTTCTGTATTAATAAAATTCTTATCAGCGTTGTTGTGAGATTTGTTTCACGAAGGGGAATTAAAAATAAAAATAAAAGAATTACTAATGACATTTTGTGTCCTTCCAATGTCATATTTTGGAACATGGTTTGTGACATGCATGTTAACTTTTCCATACACGTGGAGAGAACATGTAAACACGCAGACAGACATCATCGGTGAGGAGACAAATACATCTACGTGTATTTATTTATATATGGCTTGATATAGGTTTTAGACTTCCTTTGATACACAGACCTTTCCATAACTTTTCTACAATCCTGCCCTTATATGGTGTTGTACGTGAGAATCTAGTTGAATTTACCTAACATTGTTTAACATCTAGACAACATTGACAAAACGTTGTCAGTGGTGAACCACTTGGAACAGTGTACAACATTACTACATGTTATAAGCAATACCCAAGACTGCGTTACAGAAGCTACTCGGTTAAAGATTAAGGTCAGATATTGAACTTTACACCTACTTAGATAGTTCAGTGATATAGTCACACTCCTCAAGTGCTCAAACATTAACTGACCCACACATTAGGTACGTTTTGATAACGGTTCTGCTGTAGATAGGACATAGTAAAATTACGATGAGATAATTTTACGATAAACGCGTACTCGCCTGCGATCATATACGACATTGCCTAGATATATTTATGAATTATTCATTGCAATTTACGTGATATAGTATCTACATAGATAACCGGTGATCACATATTTGTATGGAATTTTTTTCGTTATGTTTGTATTCAGATGCAGTTTAAAGGCATACTTTGCTTGCTTAATTGATGTAACTTTATATGGACTGTATACATGATATTTCAGCTATGTCTAGTATCTTGACAAGTTACCACCGTATCACGTCTAATATCATGTCCCGGTGTAGCTATGTATCATGTAGTTATCACTGCATGTCAGATACAGACTCCGGTAGATTAAATCCTTAATGTAGAAACAGAAATATTAGGAATGAAAAATCTGGCCAACATTGATTTACATTTGGACTATTATAACTGTCAAGGAGAGAAAAAAAACAAATACCATTCAGTTGCTTCTTCTGTACAAACCACACTGACGAGCACAACAAAGAACGTAGGTATCTATATCACACAAAGAACGTAGGTATCTATATCACACAAAGGATGTAGGAATCTATATCACACAAAGAACGTAGGTATCTATATCACACAAAGAAACAGAATATCCCACAATGTGATCACGATAGAAACTATAAAGCTTGTCCATAGACTTATTCAACCTATATCTTTCTCGAAACCTTATGTGTAAGTTTGTCCGTTAGTATCTGACATTTATGAAAGAAGTCATTTTTGAGCGCGTTGGCATTGACTATCCTGCGCCATGTAAACATAGTATGTGAGGAATGGAAGTATATTACTACTATTAAAAAAAGGTTGCAGACATTCATGTTGAAGTGTCTGGTGTAGAGCCATGGTTATTGTCAGCAGTCTTTTTGGAAATATTCACAACGAAAACAATGAAGATATTTTCTTCCAGGAATTTAATCATTGGCACGTTTGTGTCCTTAATAAAATTTCAACTTGGCAATTGGCATGGTTTCACAAAACATGCTCCGGAATAGCTCACAACTGTATGTTATACTCGTTTGTTTTTAAAGAGAACGAAGCCCTCCTTCAGTTTGGATGAAAGACGATAGTGACAGAGTGGAAAAGTTAAATTAAAACATTTCAATTAGTCGCCGCGGTAACACGGTAATACGGTAACAAGATGGCTATAATGTTTGTGTCATAATGTAGAATATGTAAAGCTGAACAAGGCGAGTCTGTGGTAACTATAATTGTAGGTACTGAACAAATGAGATATTTTCTTTTCTCATGTTTTACATTAGTTTCAAGGATTTTAGTTCGAGCTACGGCTTTATTTACACTTTTATATTACTTTTTTTTAATGAATTTAAGTTCAGACCTTCTTTGGTTATTCAAAAACATCTTAATTTAGGGTGGCTTGTAGCGACCATTTTTTAACGTTTTCAATGTTAATGAAACAAACTGAAGAATCGTCGTCAATGAGACATTAATAAAATCAGAGGAACCTAAACTCATTTGAAAGGGTCAATTTGTCTTTCAAAAGGCATGATTATCAAGCTTTCTGTTATGAGACGCCTGATTCTTAAATGAGCAAAACGTAATGAAAACATTGTATATTTTATTTCATTTCAAAACATAATTCATAACAATTATGAACAATATATTGCTCTGCACCAGTTCTGTTTAGTATAAGTACCTTCCCAATATTAACAACATTTTACAACCTTAAATGTAACAATCTATACATAGCTCGTAAATACACGTACTGTTGAAACGATAGCTAATATTGATAAAGATCACTCAAACAAAGAATTCCACTCTATCACATCAGTATTCCTTGAAGATCTCTAGATAAAATGTTACGACCGGGTATTCCTAGACATTTATCTGGTCAGATGGTTACTCGTACAATACATCCTTGATGCCTCTCTAGTCACAAAACTCACACAGCCACCACACAGCCATTCATCGATGCCATTTTGGTCACAAAACTTACACAGCCAATCACTGATGCCACTTTAGCCACAAAACTCGCACAGCCACTTACACATCCATTCATTGATGCCACTCCTGTCATGAAACTTACACATTCATTTCTTGATGCCACTTTAGTTATAAAACTTACACATTAATTCCTTGATGCCATTTTAGTTATAAAACTTACACATTCATTCCTTGCTGTCATTTTAGTTATAAAACTTACACATTCATTCCTTGATGCCATTTTAGTCACAAAACTCACACAATCACCAACACAGCTATTCATTGATGCCACTTTGGTCACAAAACTTACACAGCCAATCACTGGTGCCACTTTAGCCACAAAACTCGCACAGCCACTTACACATCCATTCATTGATGCCACTCCTGTCATGAAACTTACTCATTCATTTCTTGATGCCACTTTAGTTATAAAACTTACACATTAATTCCTTGATGCCACTTTAGTTATAAAACTTACACATTCATTTCCTGATGCCACTTAAGTTATAAAACTTACACATTCATTCCTTGATGCAATTTTAGTTATAAAACTTACACATTCATTTCTTGAGGCCACTTTAGTTATAAAACTTACACATTCATACCTTGATGCAATTTTAGTTATAAAACTTACACATTCATTTCCTGATGCCACTTAAGTTATAAAACTTACACATTCATTCCTTGATGCAATTTTAGTTATAGAACTTACACATTCATTCTTTGATGCCATTTTAGTTATAAATCTTACACATTCATTTCTTGATGCCACTTTAGTTATAAAACTTACACATTCATTCTTTGATGCCATTTTAGTTATAAATCTTACACATTCATTTCTTGATGCCACTTTAGTTATAAAACTTACACATTCATTCCTTGATGCAATTTTAGTTATAAAACTTACACATTCATTCTTTGATGCCATTTTAGTTATAAAACTTACACATTCATTTCTTGATGCCACTTTAGTTATAAAACTTACATAAATATTCCCTGATGCCACCCTAGTCATACAACTTTCACAGTCTTTGTTTTGTATCCATCTCATTAAAAATTAACACATAAATTAATACATACATTTACACCATCAATAAATCATACCCTGTAGTTTCAATACTATATGTTTGTATACTTTACCTCAAGTGATATGAGATTTCTAATTTACAAAATAAGACGATTCGTTTCAGTAAAAAAACAGTATTTCTTTCTTGACTTGTATCATACAAGTTACACGTGAAAACAAAAATAGAAATGCTTTTGTATATTAACAATCCGCCATTTTCACGTAAAAATCGAACACAGTCAATGTCATTTAGCTTCGAGTTAAATGGTAAAGTTATCGAGATAAAGGAAAGGGAGCACCGTTAATATGTCGTGTTTACTTATAAAGTCATGTATAGTCGTGTATATTATATACAATGTACACAAAAATTAACCATACATATGTTTCATGGCAATACTATCAAGCATAACAAAAACGTTAAGCAGAGGTCTGATTCTTCCTTGAAATTAAATGTAGATTGGCTTTGTCAACGAGGAAACCATGTTTATATCTAACGAAGTATATCTGTTTCGAAAAAAGTATATTCAAATAAATGAAAAAGAATAAACGGGTCCACACAAATTTTAGAAGCGATTAATTATGAATATTATGAAGATTATGTTTGAGATATTTACTGTGTTTTCTGTACCAATCTATTTGACTTTCAATGCTCTTTCTTGTCCTGTCTCAAATGGTGGTGTGCATTTCCTGCTGTCAAAATCAAGCCACCAAAAATCATGCAAGCTCCTCCAAGATAAAAGCCATCATTGAAATGACCGTTTATATCTTTCATGATACCTGAAATGAGAAGTTCGGTTTTAATAGATTATGTAAAACAGACAGGTTGCGCATGTATGCATGAAGTATTATTAATAAAGAGTATGGTATACATTGTTGGTTTTCCTTATCATATGGATATAAATATGAATATTTAGGCATACATTAAACATTAAATTATGGTTGTACTAACGGTGACTTCTGTTTTTATCCAGGAGATCAATGCATCATATTTTTTATTTTACTGCTTTTACTTTGTACAGATTATTTATTAACAAACGGGCAGTATTTGCCTGTTGACGAGTGGTTAAACCAAAAACACTATCATATTGCTTTTTAGTAAAGAAAATATAGAATAGAAGATCACGGCGTTAACACTCACCTGCTATTGGCGGGCCCAGAAACATGCCGATTCCTTGGAAAAATATCAATATTCCGAAGGAATTCACCAAGTTTTTCACGCCCAGAATGTCCACAATGACGACAGACTTCTGGGAAATGTATGTTCCTACCGTTAATCCGTAAAAAGCACACACCACACAAAGTTCCTCAAATGTGTCGATGTACGGCACTATAAATGACACAGCCCCAATAAAGAACATAACAACATTGTAGATGTATACTCTATACTTCTTAACTTTCTTTAAGTCACATACAATTCCTGAAAGTATCCTACCTACACCGTCAAAAAATCCGGCGATTGCTATAGCATACGACGACTGGAGGTCACTCATCCCTTTAGACTTAGCGTAAGGTGGTATAAACACAAACGCGGACTGAAACGCTATCGTAAACAGTAATATAGCAGCACAAAAACATGAAAAACGTATATCTTTTAACAGAGAAAAATTCATTATTTGACGTTTAGGCTTGCTTTCTGATTTACGGGACGAAAAGGAAAATTTGTTTTTAGTTAGATTAGTTTCATTATTATTTGGCTGCTGAATTGACGATTGTTTGTTATTAATCTCTGTATCACATTTGTGGCTAGGTTCAGGCTGATTCATCGCCATCAATTCTGTTCCCAATTCTGTGTCCTTAGAAAGTTTTCTCCTGAAAACACAAAAAGATCATGTATAACAACAATACAGGTAGTAATTGCATACATATGGGGAAAAAACCTTAAATATACAATGGCGAGAATGACAAATTCTTAATTGACGTTTTATTTTTATTTTCAATAAGTCAAATATATGTTATGCATTTAAACGTTACCTTTATTCAGATGAACAAAGCACACTCCTTAGATGAAAAAGTATGCAAAGATAAGCAAAAGTTTTTTAAAGTTTGTATAAGTATCCAGTACCTTGTAGTATGCGCAGTTATTTGGATGTGTTGCCACAGGGGTCTAAAGAGACATCCACTTACAGCAAGATGTAACATCACAGCCCCAAGAATGAGAAACGTGCCGAAGAAACCATAAAACGTAAAGAAGAATTCGATCATGGTAGGAAAGAGAAAGGATCCGAAACCCACTCCAGATGTTGACAAACCGACAGCGATTCCTCGTTTTTTGTTAAAATATTCTCCCACTATAATCACAGCAGGAGCATAGGCGAGCAACCTACCAAAACCTGAAAGATGCAATAATTGATGTTGGTGTTTTATCGATACAATTACATAAAAACTACATTAAACCTACGTCAAAATTGTAAATCAATGGTTCAGAAAATGTCAAATTAATAAATAAATACATAAACGAAAAATTTAAAAGAAGTCGTTGAATAAGTTAATTAAAACCAAAATATGGTGCAATATCAGGTTAAATAAAAATACGGACACGTTACCTCCTAGAACTCCATAACTGAAGTATGTGAATGTGAGGTTGGGTGCGAACGCTGTGGCCACCATACTGATACAGACAAGAAGCGATCCAGTTATAACCACGGACCTGTGGGAGTATCGGTTACACAGCACGCTACATATAGGCCCTGCAACAAAATCGTATCCAGAATTAGTATTGGTCTTACGTTTTCTGGTAGGATAAACTTTAGGATTATTAGTTTGACGCATAACAAGTATAGCAAAGAAAACAAACCGATTTGGGGAAAGAACTTTGACTAACCTATTTAGTTGTAGACAAGAGGAAAGATGTTCACTCACCAAGAGTTAATCGCGTTCCTAAGGATATCTGTTGACTTGCATACAGTCAATCGCATTCCCAAATGAAATTTGACTCATCAACAGGCAATTGGAAACTTGAGAAATAATGTTGTTATTTCTTGAGTCAATGCGAGACATGAGAATAGATGTCGGCTCACCTTGAATCGACCACAGACTAGGTTTTAGGGTGATTTTAATCGAGTCAATAGCAGACACCCGAAATAAAGTTAGCTAACCACGACAATCACCGATTTGATAATTATGTTAACTAACCTACAGCCAAACGCAATTCGTGTGAATGTGACATACCTGGAGAGATCACATTAAACGGCGACTTGCCAGGATTAAATAGCAAACCAACCATAGAGTCAATCGCTGAAATAAAATATATCGATTTATCTAGAGTCAACGGCAGTTTTGTTGGAAGGTTGACTTACCAAGAGTCAATCGGAAACCCGAAGAAAGCGACAGCACCCATGCAGTGGCTGCGGCAGATTGTTGGAACTTTTCGTCAAGTTTGATAAACAATATACCTGATGATCTCTCAAGTCCACCTGTAATACGTATCATGTAATACAGTTAAGTATGTTATATCATATCAATCATCATGCAAATGAGACGAAAATTATTTATGTTCAATCAAAGTTCAATCACAGTCTTGAATGTGAATCATATCAATGTCTCAAGCAGTAAATTATGTATATGTTACATTGGAGTGGTTTAGTTGGAATAATAACCCGAGTTTAATCACACAAAAAGCAATAGGTATGTTACAATGTGATTGTGTACATTGGCCTATTTTCATACTTTGGTGACACATTTAGGTTTTCCCCTTACATTTCCATACCTATGAAGAGGTGAACCATCACACTGCCCAGGACAATGAACCAACCATATCCTCCGTCTGGAGCTAAGTTTATGTCCTCATCCTCCTTTGTCTCCTCAATGATACCAGCAACTCCTTCTTCGTCATCAAGTCCCCCTCCCGGAGCGACATCTGGTGCAGGTTTAAACACTTTCTCGGAATCTCCATTCATTAACATTGAAGTTTCCGTCTCTGAGTATAAATCATCTGTTCTATGCGATTTTGTACCGTTTTTCACAATCATAGATTGCTCAATGTCCAAGTCATTGATCCTGTGTGACTCGAAATCTTTCAAGATGGATTGTTCCGTCATTGAATCCTCAACTTCATTTTCATCATGGTATCTGCCTTTGTTTTCCATGGTTATCTGGGGAAAATATATTTCTTTTTATGGCTTGCACATAATCAGTGTTACGGATAAATGTTATGTGAGAAATATACTATTCTAATGTTGTCGCTCAATTGAAAAAAAATATCCTAATGAGAATTGTTTGTTTTATTGTACATTCATCAACATCAACACATCAAACCACACACATGGATAAATGTCACAGGCAAATGTGATAAAGAGAAAACGGAACCAGATGGTTAAAGAGAGAGAAAATAATTCCTCGGGGCCTCACCTATGTGATACTATACACGTGTTAGTATAATGTTTATGGTTGAAAGTTGACATACACCTTTCTGTGATGTATTCAATAATACGTTTTACAAGAGTATTACAAGCTAAACTGTCACACTCATCTGAGCAGTATTCAACCCATTAACATTGTAGCTCGGCTATAACAGGTAACATTGCCATACCCAATCATAAAAAAATCTGAACATCTTTTAGATATGTTGCTCCGATACTTTGATATAGCCTGCCATCAAGTAAGTCAACATCAAATAGTTTTAATCAGAGTGCAGAAAAGATTTCAACACTAAACATATCCAGACCAGTGAATAGGTAATAATTTATATTTCTGGGATGGTATGCTGGAACACCTGATACATGTCATATGTATATTATCTTATATATATCTTGATGAGAATATCTTATTTACATGACATTTAATCAACTGTTTATTTTATAAGTACACTGTGACACATGCATTTGACTTTCTTACTCTGTGATATTATCATCTTACCAGTGACATGCTATGACCTTACCTTATGTTCTTTGTGTGCGTGTACTACATGTATGTATTATATGTATTACCCGTGATGTATACATGATGCAAATATTGCTAACCTTTAACTCGACCACATGTGACATAGGTCGTTGACTCGAAATGTTATTAAACTTTAATAAAGTTTTTTATCATAAAAATCAGAAAAGAGTAATAATAATATACAACATTTGAAATGATATATTTAACATTTGAAAAGATATATACAACATTTGACAAGAGTATGAATGTGTTGCTATTTGAACCACCAATGTTAAAATAAAACATGCATTAAATCACATTTAACACGACTATATTCAAAGCGTACAGCAACATATTTGTACGATGCATTAAAATAATATGCACTCTTAATATGACATTTTAAGTGATTTACTCCATTCTCCCCAGGTACGTAAAGGAACAGTACATGTGTAATTATTTTCAAACGAGTGCGACTCACAATGAATACGGCTGTGATTTTCATCGAATAAATACGAATTGTCCTATGATTCCTGACCAGTGGTTAACACAATACTTTGTAACCATTAATTGACCATACAGCCACTGGAGTTTGCTGACTGAGTGTGTCAAGCCATTATACAATTTCAGTATATAATACTTACCGCCATTCTGACAGTCAGAACATCCAATGTCGTATCACAATGCCTGTGGTAATTTTACCTTAAATAGTACAGCACATACGCCACACACACATATATTGCAGTTACATTTAGAATCTGGTGAAATCCCCGTGAGCATTGCATCTTACATCCTCGTTTCAAATACCATGCGATATTACGTTAAAAATAAAGTTTCTTAGAGCGATACCTGTATATAACAACAGAAAAATTCCATTACATTATGTCCTTGATCGGTCACAAAGTGTTCTTATTTACATAGTTGATAACCGTCAGAGGCTTTATCGGGTATTAACACGTGGTCTGCCACATAAAACATGCGTATAGTCATTGAGACAGCACATATATTCCCATATCAATTATGAATCAAGTTAAAAAGTCAAGGTCAACATTGACAACCACCCTTCTAAAAGTTAAGAGGATGATGTAAATCTGTACATGGTTGCAGGGTTATCCACAAAAACACTCCATATCTACAGAACTGCACACGGGTCACCTTCCTCAGCGTGACATTACATGGCGAGCTATATACAGTTGATGTTTATTTCCATACACACATACGTTAATGATGGCAAGCTCCAACGCGTATATGTGCGTTGGCAATATGTATATCTGTTCATCTGGCTATCAGATTACAAGAGTGCATTGCCCGTATGGGTAAATATCAGGAGAGCTTTTTACATGTGGCTACTAAGGTATTAATACGGTTTGAAATACAGGATCTTGTATTGTACGGCCTGAAAAACTTCACACTTCAAGCTGTAACTTTAAATTAAGAATGATAAATCACATTATAACTCCTATATCAGTAAAACAGGTGGGAAAACTACCAGTATCACTACAAAGACAAGGTTACCTTGCATTATATAATATGCCCGGCACACGTTGAATAAGCAGTTGTTTGTATCGTTGAAATATGTGAAATATTTGTGAGTTACTGATGTTAAAGGAGACATACTACTGCATACCTGATAGATCAGCGAGTGCTATAAAACATAATCGAATGCATGTAGTTTAGTCTATTAATTGGTGATATAATTCACCCAAGTGTTTCAGGGGGCATAACTCGTAAATTACGGTCAGATAATGATGGTGATCCGATTTGTATGAGCTCGAATGGTAAGAATCCATTCAAAATTACTCTAGATATTGAGCGGACACCGATTCACCAATTGAATAAATGGGCTAAACTCCGTATATTAAAGTCAGATAATGGTAGTTATCGAAAATAATCCGAGCTCTCATCGTCATTACCCTTCAGTACCTCAATAGTTTGTTCTAAATGTGAATTTTACATTGTATCAACTATTACTTAACTAAGAATACGCATTAGTGTACATTGACAACGAACTGAAACCGATAAAATGTACACGTTAATAAACATATTCATGAATCTACCAGTAATAACTTTAAATGATTACTTAATCATCAATTATATTCATCTTTTTCTATGAGACAGGAAAGATCACTTTATCAAATTACTAAAACCTAGACTTAACAGACCACCATGTTTGCGCTAGTTTGTTCACTAATCTTGTAAACAATTAACCCGTGGTAGCAGGGAAGACCTAGGCCGAAGGCCGAGGGCAACAGTTCCCTTGGTCTTCCCTGCTACCGAGGGTCAAGGATTTGACTGTTCCCCCAGTGCCACTGAAACAAATAATTTATTACCTGACTCTCCATTTAAGAAACTTCATGAATTGTGCTAGGTAGGATAAATGACTGTATGACAGGAATGTCAGGATAGAAGATTCTACGTAAAATCTACACAAAACCTCGTTCAGTTCTACATTACTGCAGCTTTCGTCGATCATAACACCTTTCTCTGCACAATATTTATCCAAAATATTCACAGGACCCTTAATGACGTTTTTTGTACTAAGAGAGTCCCTATTTTCCATAAGCAATTCCAAATCTTGTTCAGAAACATCCACAAATCTGCCGTTATTCGCCATTTTCACCAGATGATAACAAACATATCTGTATCAAAAAGACGCTTGAGGGGGCCGCCGACGGGATAATTATCTGCGCACGATTGTCGAGCATACAACAGCAAGTGTGCAACAGTCGACATTAGTTTACGGGTTTCAGTCTTTTCCATGGAATTTTTTATTAAAACAGTCAAAAATACTTCATATGCACTTAAATAGAGAGTCAGGTAATAATGTAAATTGTCACGTTATTATGATATGTGATTGTGACGTCATGACGTTATCCTGTAGAAATAAACTTAAAGGTCCATCTGGAGAATGAACGATGCATTTTTTATTTGGTTTAAGTTGGTCTCGATGTCTTACTTTTTATACTTACCTACCTAACATGGACATCTATTCTCCCTTATTATATATTTCCATTTGGTGTGGCAATACCCTTCTATGGACGTTGTATGCCGGGATTCATTTGTGAGATTATAACTGCAGCTGCTTTTTGTATTGTATGAATAGGTGACTATGAACATTTTTCAAATGTTCCGGCACATTTAACGACACTGGTCAAATATTAAAAAAATATCACAGTTAAAAAAACAAATCAATCATAACTCTGTAATATATTTCGAGTTGTTTAGGGAAACAGCGCGTGATTTCAGCTGTTCCTCTGTTGTTGTTCGAAATGGTTATTGGAATGACCTCGCCGATAACAATATGAAATTTTGAATCGTAGGGAAAAGAATGAATCCTAATTGCATTTCTTATAATAAAACGAAATAATGTTAACAATAAACCGCAAAAGTGTTGCCACACAGACACACAGACACTGAATGGTGCACTGTTCCGCATCATCCAGTTTGTCTGAGACACCTGTTGCAGTGAAGCAGAAGGTAAGAATCATCGATGCGGTTTATTGATTGAAAAATATAGATACATATTTCTGTTTCATTTATATCATACATTTCTAAAAGCGTTCAATGGAAATTTCAAAACAAACCATACAAAAGTAATATCTGTTATAAAAACAGACTGTTGTATGATTAAAGGTAAGTGCGGTACTTTACCAGGTATAACAGTATTGCTGTTATTATAGTTTATTCATTCATCATAACAATCAGATATACAGAATATCTTAGTGCTGGTCATTGGTCGTTGTAGTTTTGAATTTCAAAATCAAAAACATAATGGTATGACGTTTCTTGTTCATAAAGGTCGAAATTAAGGTTATTCTCATTATTTATTCCCGTTTATTGTATTTGTTTCTTCATACAGCTGCATCTGAACCATTGTTCCTGAAAATGCGTTTACCTTTGTCTGTGTACAATTATCCTAAACAACACAAGGATATTCCAGAATTTGTATAATATAATAGGTAACATACTAAAGAGATAATGTATAGCGGGTATATATCGCGGGGGTTTTAATTTCGCTATATTCGCGCTTTGACTAATATCCACGAATTCTAAACACCAGCGAAATTATCAAAAATGTTAACCACTTTTACATTCCTTATCACAACATGTTGAAATACTTATAACCCAACGCTGTTATACCAGCTTAAATTAACTCAAATCACCTGACAACTGGGCAGTCCATGTAAAAACAGCACTTACATATAAGTGCCCACAACATATTAATGTGTACACAGTAGGTGATTAATTGATTACAGTTTACTCCTACAAAGTACAAACACATTTGATTTTCTTTCGAGTGAAGTCACTGGCGGATGAAAACGATCGGGATCAGTGTTTTCAAACGGTTTACCTATATTTCGAGGTTTAACCCTACAGTGATGGCACTGAAAATACTTTGCACAAAACATGGGATTCGGATGCGCAGCGAAATTTAACCCCAGCGAATATGTACGGAATACGAAACCGCGAAATATTGACCCCCCGCGAACTTAAAGCTCTATACTGTACGTTGATTCTTATGTATGCTTAGTCTTAGGTACACTAGACAGATACTTCGTCAAGATGTTTGTTATTGTTGCTGTTGTTATTTAACAATTGAACCATATGTGCAAGTTGACCACAAACACAAAAGTGATAATATGTTGATCAATGAATAACAGGTGTTCGCATACATTGATGTTCAGATATACCACGATTCCTCCTGAATAGCTTGAATTGGCGAAAACGATCAAGGAATGCGACTTTCGAACATAGGATTTATGTTGTTTCAAACACCAACTTTTTTTCACTTACTTGTAATAAGTATAAGGCCCCCATCAAACAAGACACCCAGGGGCCTTAATATCTCACCTGGAATTTTATTTTCAATTTAAAACCTGCTTAGTACCACAAACCTTTATCAAAGGAGTACAAGAAACAAAGTCGCAAGAAGAACTACATGTAAATCTGTTTTGGTGGGCAAGACAACAAGAAATGAGTTTCCATGCTATTTCCCGATGAGGTAGCCTCCAGGGATTGGTCTGGGCCTCTGGGGAGGGGGATCTTTTGCCAAAGATGCTCTAGAAAAAGTTTGATGAAATTCCCTTCATTAATGAAAAAGGAAAACGATTTTTAATTTTCCTCTATTTCCCCTATTGGGTCTCACGTGCACCCCTTCTGCCCCAAAGGGGGCAACAGTCTCAATTTATACAGTTTATACAAATTGAGTTTGTTTCCCTTTAGCATGCTTCAGACCACATTTGGTTTTAATCCCTTCATTTGTTTAGAAGGGAAAAGATTTTTCTATATTTCCCCTATTGGGCCACGCTCCTCTGCCCCGGGGGGGGGGGGGGGGGCACATCCAATATTGATAGATATTACCAAAAGATGCTCTAGAACAATTTTGGTCAAAATCCCGCCATCGGTACAAAAGGAGATGGATCTTAAATGTTTAATTCCTCTATTTCCACTAATGGGCCCCAACCATCTGCGACAAAGAATGGGCCCACACATCTCAGTTTATACAAAATTGATTCGTTTGTTCGTTCACATGCTTCAGACTGCATTTGGTTTAAAGCCCTTCCCTTGTACAGTAGGAGAAACCGTTTCCTCTATTTCCCTATTGGGTCTCGCATCTCTTACCCCAGAGGGGCCACACCCTCCGTTTATTCAAACTTGAGGCCCCTTTGTCCAAAGGTGCTCTAGAACAAATTTGGTCAAAATCCTTCCACTGGTTGAGAAGAAGAAGATTTTTAAAGATTTACCTATTTTCCCCCTATTTGGCCCCACCACTCAGGGGGGGGTGCGGGGGGCATAACCTCTGTTTATACAAAACTGAGAACCCTTTGGTCAATGATGCTCCAGACCAAATTTGGTAAAAATCCCTTCATCGGTACAAAACACGCTGCGCCACGGCAAAAGCTCACTTGGCCCTTTGGGCCAGGTGAGCTAAAAATGATACCATACTCAATATATTTCATGTGCATTTCGTATAATATTTCATTCAAAATAACACGCGAGAAAACATGAAAAATATCACAAGCAAAAATTTCACATATGTTCTGTATTTATAATCTCTAGGTTGTGAAAGTTTGATTACATAAACGAATATTACTATTAGGATTTTTCCTAAAAATAAATCGGGGTTGCGGTGTAGGAAATGAAATATTACAATAATGAAAACTCAAGGTGTTTTTTTTTCTCCGGGAGATTCATTTAATGTGTTTGAACAAAAACTGGTTAAATACGTCATGCAAAGTTCGTTAACAATCAAAAATACATTTGTAGATATATATTTCATACAAAAAACTAGTTTTTAACGTCATTATAAAAACAAAGTTAACAAAAACATGGGTTCCCACTGAATTTCGGCCTCGTTTGATGTCTTGCTTGAAAAATGACTAATTAGTAAATGAAAAGTACGACATAAGAATCAAAATCAGTCCGTTCTGAAACGATTCGAAATTCTTCTTTAATGGCTTGTAAGCTTATATATATGACATGCAGTACTTCATGGGTTGAAAGCCACATGTATTTTACAAGAGTGATAGCTTACTTCAAATTATTTTTCATTTGTATTTTTCATTTGTCTTTCAAATCATAAAAATATTTGATTTCACCCAAACTCTAAAAAATATATAAAAGTATTCGAGAGACAAACACAATTATCCTTTCAATACAAAGCGGAGATCGAACTAAAGAAATGGTTCATTATATACTCGTAAAACTTTCCGCCACAAAATCTTACCGTAGTAATAAAAGGTCCCATAATAAAAATAAACTATTTTTGGAGAAAACCCAGCAATTTTCAATTTCGTTGATATAGATCATATAACACGATATCATTATAAACTTAAGAAACAACAGGTGCACGTCCGGCACAATCGTAAACATCTTGGTGTTTTTTCTTCCCATACATTGTACAACGAGGACATCAAAACAAAAGAAATGGTATATTTAATTGCCGTATGGATTCCAAGGCGATACCGGAAACAAAGCTGGTCCTGCACCAAGTCGTACATTATAAAGGAAGATAACGTTCCAATGTCTATTTCGTTAATAGGAAAAGAAATAACATATATAATCATATATAATATCTGACTTCGGAGTTTTCACTTAAAGTTATAACAAGACATTAATTAATTATCGCGACAAAAGTCTAATCTAGCAATACTGTCAATACGTAAATACGTAACTGCGCTCGAGATCGATTCCATTATTCCAATGCAATATCGTCATATTATTATCATCTAATACTGTTGTTATCAACAACAGTTTTAATGACGATTTCTCAATTTCCACTTCAATATTAATGCTACTTTAGAAACCTCAAATGTTCGACATTAAGACATCCAATATATCTCGCATCAGCAAACTTGATACTATCGGTAGTGAATTTCTACAACCATGTGATTTGACAAATATAAAATGTAATCCAAGCATAAAAAACTAGAGCTCTCGAAACAAACGTGTCAAGCTTATCCATGGTGTGACACATCCACTTTAGATATCAGGCCTTGCAAGTAAGAAACATTTCAGTTCAATTCAATTCTGAGAACTAGGGCACTCAGTATCAACGTTTTGAACAAAACCATGTCATCTGTCCCGCTTCGTGTTAACAGGAAGATTTCAAAGAATAGCAGACGAACGGTCGACAACGAACCAACATATCTGCTATAGTTGAAATAATCTGTATATAAATACAAAGCAAACTGTAATATCGAGACGTATCAGTCATAAGTGTAAGATTCCATATACGTGTAAATAACATAAACAATGGATAATACAACAGTCAATTACATTTGAAACGATCACAGAACAAACACCTTTGTACTACTCGTCTCTCACTAAAATTATAAATGCTGCTGTGTTTTATCAACCTTTTTTTGCCAAATTTGATTTTTGCGTATGTACAAGTAATATACACTAGTTTCTTTAGGTAAAAGATTGTTTATAGAAATAGAAACATATAACATTAAAAGCGAATAAAATTTATATAAATACCTTTATCAAAAATAATTCATCCCAGAAGATTTCATTTAAGCGAGGTTCTTCCGATTTACAACGAAAACTTCGGAACCAAATTCCAAATGAATGGAAACGATTTTGTTGTCCTTTAATCCAAAATATCTGCGAATAAAATGAATAAAATGATCCTCGTTGGAGAGAAAAAAAATGACATTCCCGTGTAAAACGAAGGTAGAAATGTCATACAAGCCTGTGTATTGTGCATAGAAAATCAGATTACATCTCCATCATCTAAAATATAAATTGTTCCATTGTTCAACTAACTTCATGCCCTTCTATGATATACGTAGCAGCTGTGGATAATTTCTGCAAAATACACATACATAGCCTTATTCTGTATAATACAAGATTTCCAGTGAGTCCAAAATAAATTAAGCACTTGTGAATTAGCACCTTATATCATGTATACTCGTCTACGGTATACGCTACATACTGCAGTATGATACCCTGATATAGCAATACTTCCCTCTGGTGAAGGGTGCATTTATAAAGTCACAAAACATAATAACAACGTTCTTGTATGTATATGAACAAATCTGTCAACCGTGACATGATGAAAGTATTACAGTTCTTATCCCGATGTCATGTATTTAGAGAAATGTAGTGAACTTTGTCTTACAAATTACAAAAACTTAAACAACTTTCATGCTTATGTAAAGATTTGTAAAAATGATTACAAAAGTAAACAATAAATTGGTCTAGTGCTTCACACAAAATCGTGCTGTTTACTACGTGTAGTAATTGGTACATCAATATCACACAAACAAAAAACAATGATTTTCCCTAGCATGATGTATAAAAGATATAAGTTTATTCTCTTGTAGACTATTGTTTGACTTACAAAAATCATCAGAAATAAGAGTGCAATGAACTATGCATTGAAATATGCAAGGGATGGAAAATAATGAAAAAAAATGGCAAGATGGACAATCATGCTAACGGGTAAACGAAATGTTTGATACTTGCAAAAACGTGAAAAACATGATTGATACCAGCCGAACAATTTACTATAACAAGTCAATTTGTTGACAAAGTTCGGGTAAACAGCCGTATCTTAATAAGAATAAGCCAATACTGTAAAATTGATGATGAGACGAGACGTGAAATGAGTTGGTGAACCAAAGATAAGAAGCATGAAAATGTTTGTTAAATGTATATGAAATATCAAGGATGTAACTCCGTGGAATCATCGGTATCAAATACCAAATTGTCATACATTTGTATTTAGTGAACAATATATATCCCAATTCAAAGTGCTCCGCATACCTTGCCAAGATAGTAAACATGCCAAGAATGGTGAATATATGTAAAATAAAGAGGTGGTTAAGATCTAGATAAACTTTGGTATTAGAAATGATCAAAGAGAAATAACTCTGTTCAAACACAGGTAAACTTCTGAAACGAGAAGTCTTCTGAGATCGATCTGCTTGGAAAATGAAAAGCATGAGAGTGCCGACTTAAAAATCTAACAAGCGAGCGGGTGGACGGACGGACAGCGTACATGGTAACGACCTGACGTTGATGGGAATCAATAATAATATCTATGAATTAGCACACATTTGTTCCATTAAAATGCAAAATTTTCAAAATTGACCCTGAGATTATCATATCAAAATGAGCAATACAAATGCAAATTATCTACATTTCACTTCTCCTATTACATAAGGTTTGAAGATTAACGCTGTGTCATCACCAGATCTGTTGAGTTTTGTAGCATACAACAATCCTCCTATGTTGATAACCGTTTCTTCAATCTCAGATAATGAATGATGTTGGCGAGTGCTAAAACCAAAGCACCCAAAAACATCGATGCTCCACCAAAATAGAATCCGATGTCGTAGTGACCATTGACATCTTTCATAAAACCTGAAATAGAATGTTCAAGACCAGTGTAAGAGCAAGCTGGCTGACCAGATATACGGATATTATATACAGTGACTTTTGCTACAGTATTATTTTCACAATAATCATGGAAGGAGTAAACCGTGAAAGGCTAAGTAAATGACGAACTACATAATGCATAACGCGAGAAACACGATTTTCACACGACTAGACAAATAACGAAGCGGTATATAGTAATTTCTCCCAAATCTCGATATATTATTATATAATCCATGTAGAACATTACTGTACGTAATGTGATTCTTGCCTACCCCATATCTACTGGTATTGGAACATACTCTCTGACCCAACGGTCGGAATCACAATTGTGACGTTAACCTGAAAATCAATAACGCAGCGACTGTGACGTCACAATAATAGTTATATATCCACTGTCAAAACAGCAAATGACATCGCTTCACGTGATAACTACAATAACAGAAAGTAAATTTTGCTGTAAAGCTTACTATACTTTTACCTTACATTACAATTGTTTCGTTGTCCAGTATACTCATTGTTGTCTTTGCAATGCCAGAGTTGAATATTAACAGAATGTCTGGTAGAAATATATCGATCATTATTTAGGAAAACGAGATATAGAAATCCTACCCTCTGATGTAAAGTCTAAGGTCAAAACCTCGTAAAGCTTTTTATCTGACCAAAATATTACGCTAAAGTGTTAAATTTCCATTTTCCCCATACCCACATACTAATTGGCTGAATTTATCTTTTTGCAATAATTCTTTCATTGTCATCTTCATATAACATTACAAAAACGTCTTTCAGTTATCGTTACCAGCATAAATACAGTGTATTGAGATAAAAACAAAATGCGTTACCAAGCAACTTACCTGCAATAGGTGGACCAAGAAACATGCCGATACCCTGGAAACATATCAGTAGCCCAAACGAATTAACAAGTTTTTTCACGCCAAGAATATCCACAATGATGACAGATTTCTGACAGATGTAGGTCCCGACCAGTAGTCCATACACACCACAAAGTACACTGAGCTCCACAAAGGTGTCGAGCTGAGGTACAACCAACGATACAAATCCCACCAGGAACAGTACAGCGTTGTAGATATAAAGTCGGTATTTCTTCACACTTTTAAGGTCAAGTAAAAACCCAGAAACTATACGGCTAGTTCCATCAAAGAATCCAGCGACAGACACAATATACGAAGCTTCTATTTCAGATATACCCTTAGATTTAGCGTAGGCGGGTATGAAAACAAAGGCTGACTGGAATGATATGGTAAACAATAATATGGCAATACAAAAAGAAGCAAATCGAAGATCTTTCATCAACGATAACTCGAGCACTTTATTCTTCGGCTTACTGTCGTTATTTGAAGAAAAGAATGAAGACATCTTCCTGAATTTTGACACTTTTGTTTGGGGTGCCAATACAACGTTTTGCTTTGCTACTTGTTTTTGATCTAGTTTTGCACTGCTTTGCTTATCCCATCCATCTTCACATAAAGCTGTTGTTTCGGGTCCTACATCAGACTCTTTTATATTCTTTCCCCTATAAACAAGTTAAGGATATGGTTTAGTCTGAGTATATGACTACACATAGGTTTTTCTGCGATTTTGCTTAACTGAGGTATTAATTAAAAGAGGAAATTGTGATTTCTAGTTCAATTTTTCCGTATAGGAAGCAGATTTATTTAAAACAGCCTTTTATGCTAAACGGGGGAAAATTCACTTGAATATCTACACAAATAGTCTCATATTTTGGGCCGAAACCAGAGGGTAATATTTAATTAAGAATGTGAATGTTAAGATGTTCCTATGCGATTGTATGTGACTTACCTTGTGTCATGTACCATCATCTTGATATGGAGCCAGAGAGGCCTAAACAAACACCCACACACAGAAATGTTCAGCATCACAGCTCCAAGGATAAGAAAGGCGCCAAAGAAGCCATAAAAGTTGAACAAAGTCTCAATAATGGTAGGGAACAAGAAGGAGCCAAATCCAACACCTGATGTTGCAATGCCGACAGCAAGACCTCGCCTTTTGTTAAAGTATTCGCCTACTATAACTACAGCTGGGGAATACGCTAGTAGTCTGCCTATCCCTGTAAGAAATCAGTATACAATATAAAACTAGATAGCAGTTTATATGTCCCTGTAAGTAACCAATACACATAATAACACAAGCTAGCAAAGGTATATATCTCTCCGTAAGAAATCAGTATACAAAATAAAACAAGATAGCAGTTTATCTATCCCTGTAAGTAACCAGTACTCATAATAACACACGCTAGCAAAGGTATATATCTCTCTCCGTAAGAAATCAGTATACAAAGTAAAACAAGATAGCAGTTTATATATCCCTGTAAGTAACCAATACACATAATAACACAAGCTAGCAGTATATCTCTCTCCGTAAGAAATCAGTATACAAAATAAAACAAGATAGCAGTTTATATATCCCTGTAAGTAACCAATACACATTATATTACACCTCTACTTTATTTACTCTATATAAAAGTAATTGGTTAAATCGAATATATCCCCACTTTTGCCTGACTGTGTTTTAGTCCTGTGTGTTAGTCTGGGAACTAAAACACACCTACACTCGGGTGTTTCCGCCAAGCCAATCAGGCGAGAGGTGGGCGGAGCTTGTTACCGAACTCGGAAGCGACGCGCGAGGTGGGCGGAGCTTGCAACCGAAATCGGAAGCATTTGGTTCCATTGACATCAAAAGGGTATTTGGGACTTGATGCTATACAGCTTATGGTTTACAAATATTTTCTAGTTAAAACTATCTCTCCACTGTGTATCGGTATAATAAAACGGTTAAAGTATGGGGTTGAGGCATATAGCAAGTTTCTGGTGTCCCTTGACCATGCATATTTCCCTCGGCTTCGCCTCGGGAAATAGACCTGGTCTCGGGACACCAGAAACTTGCTATATCCCTCAACCCCATACTTTAACTGTATAATAACACATGCAAGCATTATATATATATATCCCTGTAAAAAATCAGTACACATAATAACACACGTTAGCAGTATATCTATCCCTGTAAGAAATCAGTATACATAATAACACATGTTAGCAGTATATCTATCCCTGTAATAACACAGTAGCCAATACACATAATGAAATAAGCCAGCAATATATATACCCCTGTAAATAACCAATACACACTTAACACTCAAGTGAAACAACACAAGAGAATAATGAAGTGTTAACAAACCCCAATGCAAACTCACAATTTGTGTGTTAACTGTGTTAGTGACAATGAAATAACAAGGTATACTTATGAGAATAATCAAATACATCAACCTTAATATCACACAAAGAAATACCATATATAGTTCCCATTGAGATAATGATCAAACTTGCGAATAATCTTGATCATGCAACATTCAAACCCTATAAATTAAGTCTGTCTGTCAGTGGTCAACATCTACCACAGAGATCATGATATAAGGAGCAAGCTATTGAATACTGAATCACTGTGACGTGTGAATGCAGGATGCAGTGGTGTTCATATTAGTCTTTCTACTAACATACCTGAGCTTAGAAAGCTCAATTGAGTTGAATTTAACAAAAAATGGAAGAAAATCTAATGACCTTTCTTATGGTCAAAACCAGCTTTCAAATGCTATATTACTTATGAGCAAAACTGCACTTACATCATTGACTCTGTAAACAAATTCAGGAATAGAAGGAATACCTATAAATAGTATAAAGTATACAATAGGAAGTATACTATAGGAAGTCGATGCGTACTCCGAAACAAATCTGCATTTATTCTTTACAATTTTTTGATATTTATAATGAAAATAATAGCATACCTATTGTCACAGTGTATGTAAAATGTTCAGGTATTTAAATGATTTATACTATTTTGACAAAAAAAATACATATCATCAAGTCCTTGTCAAGGAGGAGCAAAGACTAATAATCCCTGAAAATCTAACTTTAACATCTTCTTCTTTGTGATTTATGGAATGCTTTTACATGTATATTATATCTATACATGTAGTGAAATAAGTGCAATCTTTAAAAACATATTCTGGCATGGGTCTTATGGAAATACTCAGGAAGTGAAATCACATCAAATTCATATACTGTACCTCCTAAGACTCCAAAGCTAAAATAGGTGAAAGATAGACTGGGTGAGACAGCAGTGATGATCATGCTGATACACAAGATGATACCTCCTGTGATAACCACAGATCGATGGGAGAATCGGTTACACAGAATGCTACACAGAGGACCTACAACATAAATAACATATACAGCTTATAAAATGTCAAGGTAATATGGTCTTGGTCACTTATTGCACGAAACCATGACAACATTCATTGCAGCTGTTCAAAAAGACAAAAAAAATACTTAAAAATTTGACAGCTTTTGGACATATCTTCACTCAGGGGGACGAAATCTACATACAGGAATCAACATAGTTTCTTTTTTCAAAATGAAATTAGATCAGCAACCTTTAAAGTGACATATCGTTAAAACCAATATTTCATTTATTGAACGTACGTGTTGTCTGTACTACCAATTGTTTCATATACAGTATCATACACACAGAGCAGGCTTACAACAGTCCATAACATAGGTTAGTGTTACCTGGTGTGGTTTTGGACAAGTTTCACAAGTCATGTCTCTGACATCAAAGAATTACTCAAACACAATTTACATATGATTATACAAAGAGTTATCCCAGACTTTTCTTGGAGAGGGGTATCTTGCATTACTTGAATCACAGATCTGCTAGGATGGATCCCAAAGGACCAAAAAATTACTATCAGACCTAATGGAAGGAAGGTCAATACACCAAAACCAAATCTAGTAATCTCACAGCTAATGGAAGGAAACATCTAATATCATTATGAATATAAAATTGAGGGAGAAGAACTTGATAAAAATTAATAAAGAATATTAGATCTACAGGGGAGAGCTCAAATTACCAGGAGAAATCTAGTAAGCACAGACGTACTTAGACCGCCTAATGGGAGGGAGACCAACTTTACAACCACTACTAGTAATCTCAGACATAATGGAATGTAGGTCAACATGCAGAAGGAACCTAGTAATCTCATATCTACAGGAAGGGAAGTCAACATATAAATGATAACAGTAATCTCAAACCTACTTTGAGGGAGGTAATCTTACAAAAAAAGTTTATCCCAGATATAATGGGAGGTCAACCTTCCTAGAGATAATCTCAGCCCTGCAAGGAGGTCAACCTACCTAGAGATAATTTCAGTCCTGCTGGGAGGTCAACCTACCTAAAGATAATATCAGCTCTGCCAGGAGGTCAACCTACCTAAAGATAATATCAGCTCTGCCAGGAGGTCAACCTACCTAGAGATAATCTCAGACCTGCAAGGAGGTCAACCTACTTAGAGATAATCTCAGACCTGCTGGCAGGTCAACCTACCTAGAGATAATCTCAGCCCTGCTGGGAGGGATGTTGCCCAGGCTGTCGCAGCAGCAGACTTTTGAAATTTGTCTTCAAATTTTAAATAAATAATCCCAGCTGATCGCTCTATTCCACCTATAATGATTAAAATAAAGCAATCATGTCACTGAAGACTGTTTATTAACAATTACAAATAAATTAATTGATTTACTATTGTTTCTCTTACACTTCCCTAAATATCGTATTTTCATCTGAAAATGATTGATATTCCAATAACAGGATGTTAGAGTAAAGGTGACTTTTTTTGTATTGTCTTGTATATGTATTGACTTGCTGCATTATATTACCTTTCTATCTAAAACCTTGTAAGTCGGTTTGTTCTTTATATAGTAATTATTAAATTAACCTTGACCTTCACCTCAAATCTAAATGTAGTAACCCAAAAAATTATACTGACAATGCCAAATTCAAAATGATACTTAAGGGACGTTGAGACAAATAATGACATTGTATCTATAAGAGTGCTTTAATCAAATACCTATGAAGAGATGGACCAGCAGACTGCCCAAGACAATGATCCATCCAAACCCTCCATCTGGGGCTGGGTTTTCTTCCTCCATCTCCACCACAGGTTTGTCAGATTCCTTGGACTCCTCCATTGTTCCAATAGCTTTTCTGTCCTCTATTCTGCCCTGAACACCTCCATTTTCTAAAAGACAGTGGTCAATTATATTCACACACTCTTTCATTTCTAGTGTAGTTTTATCCTCATTTATCTCAGAGGGACACTCAATAATGGAATCCTTCATTTTCTGGGTATTTATATCCTCATTTATCAAACTAGAGTACTCGGTTTCCTGGTCCTGAGTACCACTTCGGTGACGGTAATCTTGTGGTTCCTTACTAGCGTCCATACTTTTTATTTACAGGTAACCTTCCTGTAGGATCCCTATAATCCTGTTTTTCATTTGTATGTGAATATCATCCGGTTGCAATCAGCAGCATTTACCTATAACAGCAAAATGTGCTTTAGCATGAGCATATTTAATGAACACTCTTGCTTTTGACAAGCCAATACATTTTTGTCCCCTTGGATGGAAACTCTGAAGCATACTTTGGATATCAAATATATTTCTCAGTTTTTATAAACAGGTTTTACTTTAATACATGCATACACATTGTATGTATATTGTATGTACCTTACCAGTACGAAACAGTTAACTTTTTAATATGGTTCATACCAAAGTCAGCAGTCCTTTCAGAAAACTGTTTAAGGATGTTCATGTACACAAAAAATAGGGAAACACTATGAAAAAAAGAAATGTTCTTTTGGTCTCATCACGTTCATATCTTCTTTATTGGTAAATGTAGATGTATTAATTATATAGCATTTCACATTAACATATATAGTGTTGATTTCTATGACAAGAGTTTGTATCTTTTTAGAAAAAGAATAAAATCAATAAGTTGCAGATGTAGCATTTATGATGTTCCAGCAAAATAAAAATAAAATGATAATTCAGTCGCATTGTACACAGGTGCTTGAAATTTTGACTGTAAGCGAAAATAATTGTATTTTAAAAATTAAAATTATAAAAAACAGGAAAACACTTAAAAAAAAGGAAATGTTTTTTATAATAGAACTTCCCCTGGATTTTTTTGTATATTATGATTGTTTAAATAGAGTAATTGTTTGAAATTAGATGAGAATTTCAAACACCTGTGCATTGTGATTAATATCCTAGTTAGGCATGCTATTGATAGATACCAAGCTTTTTTTTAATCATCAAAACTATTTTAGATGATATGAAAACCGCTTTCCTGACCATTTAAAATAAAAAGTGCTCTCTAGTATTCAAATAAAAAACAAAAAACCTCAAAAGTAAAACAGTGGCACATGCAACCTTAAAAATGAAAAAAAAAAAAAAGGGGGGGGCGCGGGGGGGGGGGGG